AATTTCCAATATCTAAATCCAAGTTCGGCCACTAAAAATAAGATTTGCTTCATCTTGGTCAAACCAAGATGTGATATGTGTAAACGCTTCATTAAGATGAGTCGAGGTATTTCTGGTATTTATACTATTATTAATATTACCTTGTTTATCCAAAACAAATCCTAAAATCTCCAACATACTTTTTAAAAAAACACAACTTTTTTCATTTACTTTTTAAGCCTTTAATCCTTAATTCAATGAAATCATTCAAGATTCTAATCTTTACTTTCTATGGAATCAAAATGTTTATTCAGTATCATTAGTTCAGTGCCGTTTCTTGCAGCACATTTATTAGTCTCTGGCTTTTAATTTTTTCAATATTAAGTTTAAAAATGCCTCTTAGTGCTGAGGATGTAGCGCGTGGTGTGGCACTTATTGATGATGGACGTTCCATTAGATATGCAGCTAATGCCATCGGAGTTCCATATGAAACTTTACGAGACGCCGTCAGGCGTTTTCGGAAAACTGGTTCTTACAATAGAAGGCCCGGTTCTGGACGGCCTAGGGTAACAGAACCACGGGATGACCGGTTTTGGACTTTGAGAATTTTACGAAACCGGCACCTTACCGTTGTTCAAGCGATTCATCAGCTCGAAGAAGTTCGAGGTGCGTGAATTTCGGAACGTACCGCTCGGAGAAGATTAAATGAGTATGGATTAATGGCTTTTCGTCCAGTAAGAGGACCAGAGTTGACCAGAACTCACAGAGTAACACGGCTGGTTTTTTTTTTCGAGAACACAGCCATTGGACTATGGACGAATGGAGTGCTGTACTTTTTACAGATGAGTCAAGATTCGCTCTTCGATCTCCAGACAGGCGTGAAAGGGTGTGGAGAAGAACAAACGAAAGATATGCGGCCTGTAATTTTTCCCAGAGCCAACCTTTCCAACGTGGTTCCTTAATGGTGTGGGCTGGGATTTCAATGGAGCGCCGCACAGAATTGGTTGTTGTTCGTGGAGGGTCTTCGACGGCCATTCGCTATGTAGATGAGATTTTGGAACCTCATGTGTTGCCTATCCTCAACGAAATCGGCGATCGTTCTATTCTAATGCACGCCCACATGTCGCCCGCATAGTGCAGACGTTCCTTCAACAGAACAATATTGAGGTTTTAGCCTGGCCAGCACGTTCTCCAGATTTGAACCCCATTGAACATTTATGGGATAACCTCGGAAGACGAATAAGAGCGCGTGCAACACTTCCTGATACACTGCAGGACCTTGAAAGGGCTCTTCGGGAGGAATGGGCTATCCTCCAGCAAAGGGACATTTCCCGACTGGTGGAAAGTATGCCGAGGCGTCTTCAAGAAGTAGTGAAGGCAAGAGGAGGAAACACGCGCTACTAAACGATGATGTAATTAATTTCTTTTAGAATAATAATGGTTCGTTTTTCAATTTTATTTTCTCTAATCTTTCTTACCCAATCACATTTTGATTATTAAAGGTAAAAAAAGATTATAAAATTCCATAAATACTAAGTATTATCTACAAATACCATGTATTATATACAAATACAACAGAAATATTTTTATATGAAAACATGGAATAATCAAGTGGGTGGAATTTTCTGCCTGTCAGTGTATTTAAGCGCCTAAATATTTTGGTTATGATAAAAAAGTGCTCTTCGTCTGTTCTAGCTGTACAAAATATATTATCAATGTAAATTTAAGTGAAATGAATTCCCTTAAGTATTTCCATTGAAATTTTCTGACGTTCTCCGGGGCTGGACACCACAACCTCCGGTAGTTTGTTATATTGAAATAAACCTTCATCTGTTATAATCCTTAGTGCTTCTTTGGAATCTTCATCAACTCTAAATTAAATGAATGCATGTGCTAAATCAATCTGGGACTACCTACATTTACTACCTACTTGTAATTTACTAAAAACCTCTTCTTTGCTTGGCACAGGTAAAAGTTTGATAATTAAATGTGGATTGATGGTTAACTTAAAGTTACCACACACTCTAACTTCCCCATTAGATTTTAGAATAGATAGCGTAGATGTCGCCCAGCTACTAACCATCTCAGGCTCTAGATTACGTCTGGAAATTAATATTTTTATTTCTATTTTAACCTTGTATTTAAGTGCAAAAGGCACCCTATGTGGTTTCAATTGTACAGGCACTGTGTATTTTTTAAAAATTAATAAACTCCGTGCTCCTGTATAAACTCCGTACCCTGGACTAAATAATTTCGCGAATAATGAATTAACCTTAGCCATTACTTACAATAATTTAATTCTAATTTGAACGGCCTCAGACCAAGTTTGTTAAGCCAGCTTCTTCCCAACAAAGTGGAACCTCTCTCTGGTAAAACATAGCATTTTACATCATTTACTACTTCACCATTAAATGACACTTCCAAATTTGTTAGCATCAATATAGGCTTCAAATCGTTTTTACCATATGTCGTTTAGGTTAAGTAGTGTTGCACAAAATCGGTCTTGGTCTTCCACTGGACCAAGACCCAGGTCGCCTAACTGTTGCAAGACCAAGACCAGGACTGGTAAAATAAATCGATTTTTTAAATAAAAATTAAGGCAAAAAAGTTACTAATACTTGACAATCTTAGTTACTATATGTTAATGATTGGTATTACCAATATACTTTTGTATTTAAATCCTCTAATTTTTCATTCGGACTTAGTTAGGTTTCTCCTATCTAAAAAATTACAGTGATATCTCTAAAGCAACAAGCTAATAATTAACTGCAAGACTGTTGTGATACTCTTGCGTAAGACCAAGACCACGACCAAGACTGAGTTTGCAAGACCAAGACTCGTCTCTGTCTCGCATTTGGGCAACAATAAGGTTAAGTCAGGTTCGACCATTGCTGTATGTGAAAAATATCGATCTTTCGACTCTTTTGATATCACTGTTACATATGATACGGTGTCTACTTGCATTGTAATTTTAAGTTCGTTCATTAACAAACCAATGACCAAAGGTTCCGCCTTGGACTGCACATTCATCGAACCCGCATTCGATAATTCAGTATCCCCTAAAAGAATTTGTTCTAAATGAAAAAAAAATCTACATTCTCGGGCATAGTGACTGTTAATCTCACCGCAGCAAAAACTACTATTTTTTTTATTGCTATTAAATAATGATCGATTCTTTACACTGCATCTTCCCATAACTTGACCGCTCTTGAGTTAGTTCTAGGCTTCTACATTGAGATGTTTTGTTGTTGTCTATATTTCCTCTGATCATATAGTTTACCTGCGAGTACAAGTTATCCGATGAGTTGCTAGAGCCTGTGGTGTTAAAGCACTTTCCATTGCCAGTTCTATGGTCTCTGCGATTTTCAAAGCATCTGAAAATGAAACCTTCTCTTTTCTAAATAACTCAACTCGTGTCTCATGATTCTTTATGCCACAAACAAGCTGGTCTCTTAGTGACATCTCAACATCAGAAAAATTACAATGCATAGATGCTCTTTTTAAAAGGGCTACAAAATCATTTATTGTTTCTGACGCTAACTGATATGTATTGTTGAATTTATGTCTTTCTAATAGTTCCAAAGATTTGGGGGTTAAGTGCTTAGACATTAAAGAAACAATTTCTTTAAATGGGAAGTCCTTTGGGTTTTTTTGGTATTGCTAAATTTCTAATAAGAATGTAGGTTTCTGCACTCAGCTTTATAAGCAGTTCTGGTACATACTTACTTTCTTAAATATCATGTGCAATGAAATAAAGTTCTAACCTTTCAATAAAAGTGGCCCATTCGTCCTCATGTAAACGAAATTCAATTTTACAGGTCTCCATCATATAGCTTGCTCCTTTATTATTTATTTTCACTTGGTTTACCTTTTCACCAATTTCCTTGTTTTCTTCTTCATTTTCACTTAGCAATTCCTGCACTGAAATTTGCCTTAACCTATCTACAGAATCAGCCTCATCAAAAACCATATCTAACTCTTCTAGTTTTAAAAATCAAGTCTAGTTTCTTTAATTCATACACCCACGAAATACCTTTCTTCATTACTTTTATCCTCCTCGCCAAATGATCGGTATTTGAATATTAAAACACAAAACTACAATATTAATAATCTCAACTCTGTTATTCATCATAAAAGATAACACTGTTATGTTTTTACAACTATCACTTATTGGTATTATTGATATATCACAAAAGACTACTTATGTTTCTTCGATATATAATTTTACGAGTTTAGACAAAAACCTTAGAGCTATTTCCGAGAAAATTGTAAAATGAAATACCTACAGAGGCATCTATGGTGAGTCAATTTTAGGAAAAAAGGTTGTGTCTTCCAAAACATATACCATCCTTATAAATAAAATTTCGTGTCTTATATTTTTTCTATCTGAACACCACAAACACACAGACCACTTTTCTGTACTAATTATTTGATCTCAGGTTAACTTGATACATGGATTTCCGTTTAATATGTATATTCGCAATTGTCACGATAGCAATAATTTCCCTTATCGTACATTCCATATGTAGATAGGTAGGTATAAGTATGTAAAATAAAATCGTATATTCCAAATAATATAAAAATTATTATTTTCATTTAGTTAAAAATATCCAATTGGTAAATTGAATATAAAATAAAAAATGAAAATAAAAAGGAATCATAATATTAATGCGCCATCATCATTTTTCTATTTAAAATAATATAAAAATATTTTATTTAGTTAAAAATATCCAATTAGTGAATTAAATCTGTAGTAAAAAAATGAAAAAAATCAAAAGAAAAAATAAATCATCATATTAATAAGTTACCATCATTTTTCTAGTTTTTTTAACTGTTTCCAACCCCTTTGGCCCAAAACATAATTAATTAAAGATAGAAAAATAACATATACTGCAAATAAAAGTAACTTCAAGTATAAAAACAATTCCTAAGCCATATAAGGAAAGAAAATGGCCAACGCCTAAAGACATGGAAGAGGTGGGGATGAAGAAGCTATCCCTACCACTCAGTTGCTGTGGACGATAGATTCTGGTAACAGCTAGTGTTCAATTATTGTTGAAGAATTGTTCAGTGGTAAGTTTCTGTTATTTTTTTTTTGTTTGTTTTTTACTTGCCATATAGTTGTGTAAACAGTATGTTGTTTGGGGAACATTAGGTTATGGTGACATTGTATTCTCGTAGAGTTAAAGAATTGGGCTATATATTCTTGTAGAGTTTGAGAATTGGGCAGTGTTTCTTACATTTTTTTTTTATTCCAAATAAATGAGGATTTTTATTTTATTTTAAGTGCTCAAGTGATGTGTTATTCATGTAGACTAGGCAACAATTAAATTGGTCTATGATTTAGTACCAATTTATCCATATTTTATACTTGTACAATTTACAAAATTCTGTATACACTTATTTTACAAGTTTAATCAACCTTATACACAATTTCGTCAATCATCGGTTATAAATTCTTTAGCAATTTATTTTTCACAGACAGAGAGTTATAATTCACTAAGTATTTTTATTTGACTTGTCCAAATTAACCTAGCAATGAGTAAAATCTGAAGTAAAAAATACAAACATGCTTTTATAAAATATTAAAAAAATTATTTCACTCAAGATCTTCGAGTCAAGCCTTTCCCCCCTCGTGGAACGAAAGGCAGGATTCTAGGAGATCCCAGCGCCTCTCACTCAGCCGCATCACTGGTATTAAGGACTAGCGGAGGCTGAGCAGAGGCACTATAACCAGACATAATAAATAAAAGTTTTAACTTTTAGTAAAATAAAGATCTAGAGTTCATCAAAGAAAACAAAATGGCCAACGCTCTTGAAGACATTGAGGATAGTGGGGATGATAAGGCTATCCCTACCAGTCAGTCGCTGAGGACGGTAGATTCTGGTAACAACTTGTACTCTTGAAGTGTTAAAGAATTAGCCACTTGTAAGTTTCTTACTTTTTGCTTTTATTCTGCCATAAAGTTAGGTAAACAGTGTTTTTTTAAGGGGGCGATGGATTCTGTTAATATATTTTATTCTTGTAATGTTGAAGAATTGGGCGGTGGTTTTTACATGTTGCTTTTACTTACCAAATAGTTGTGTTATTCCTGTAGACCTGCCATAATTCAATTTACCCATGCTTTTTTACTAATTTTTCAATTTTTCTTACTAATACATTTCACAAACATAGCAACAATTTGACAATATCCGTTATGGAATCTTCGTTAGATAACTATAAAACACCTTACCTTTATTCCTGATGGAATCGTTTACTTTGTAGCTAAGGAAATAAGTAACAACTACTTATATGTAACAATGTCTTTAAAACAAAATTGTTAATACATATAAAATTACATTTTTTTTTTTAAATTTGTTAATATGTTCTATTTAATTCTGCATTTTATTTTCTGCATATTTCCTATTTGACTATTTCAAATTTTAATATCTAAAATCAATTATTTCATCAATTTCAGTAGTCTTAATGAAGATCTTCGATAAATTTAAGGCTAAATTCTTCTACAGTATTATATTTTACTTTTCCTTAAACATTTTTATAATAAACCTAGGATTCGATATTACATTAAGATGAAGTAAAAGTATGTATGATAGATCAATAAATTTATTCAAAATTAACATTAATGTATTCGATTCATATGTTGAGAGTCATTTCATGTTGTTTTTTTAAATGCAACAATCGTTACAAATAATTACAATTTTTATAATCTTATAACATTTTTAATTAAGTGTTAATTTATAGCATGAAAATCGTTATGGAATATTGTGTAATAATTATTAAATGAAAAAAAGTAATCGTTTCATATTTCTGAATTAACTGTGTAATATAATATTCCTGAATTCGATTAATATTACCATAACTTAGGAATGCCATAGTGATGACGCAATAGATTTTTTATATTTATTGTTTAGCGTAATTGGAAAAAAATTAATAAGGCAAGGCATTATAGCTAAATGTGAGACCCTGTTATAGGTAAACACAAAATGGGTAACAGCATTCATTTATTAGTTTTTCTGAATAGACATTGTTTAGCAAATATTTCTCTTTCTGACTCATGTCTATCACAGAAGGAGTCTTTGTGCCAAGAACAGTTCATTATATATAATATCTTTATTTTTGCAAAAAACGAATTTTACATGTTATTCTTCATAACTAATTAAACAAAAAGTATTATTATTCTTACAACGATTATTTCTCACATGGTGTACTATTTAAACGATATCTCAACTTAAGAATCGACTTGAAATTTAATTATGGATTGTCAGTCAAATATGGGAAACTGCAATTAGGATGAGTTGTTTAAAATAACAGATACATAAGTATTTATTTTTTAAAAAACATTTATTACCTAAGTTTTATTTATTATAATATTATTAAATTTTAGGATCAACTAAAATGAGTTCCAACAATCCAGGAAGATCTAATTTTCATGAAAGCTTGTCTATACTGTCGAAAGCCATCGATATAAGCCGATTGGTAAGTATTAAAACACTAACTAAAAAATAAATGAATCTTTGATGTACTATGTTCCATTTTAATTAATAATCAGTGGTGTAAGAATTTTACTTGTAGGAATTAAAAATATTCATTATTATTTTATTTTTTCTTAAATTGAGATATAAAAAACGGGAACTAAACAAAAAGAATTTGATAAAACAAAAAACAACACCCCAATGATACAAAATTTCACTTCAAATCATGTATTCAAAATGTGAAATGATCTGTCCATTTTATTATAAGGAAGTTTTAATTTCTTTAAATTTATTCAGTCTGAAAAAATAGGTATGACAAAGCTATTTAATTTTATTTTTAATGCAAAACAACATTTTGAAATTCTTCTATCGGAAAGATTTAATTGGAATTTTAATTGAATTTGTATTATTCCAGTGTATTGGTTGAATTATTATCTAATAACATTTTAAAAATTGGAAATAGTGGATCCAATAAAGTGGCCAGACCATATTTAAAATGTTTCATTAAGATCAGAATAATAATTTTTAATTTGAATCTTTATTATTATTCTTTATTTTTTATCACTTTAAAAAAAAAATATTTTCCTGGAGTGGGGAAAAATTAACTTCAACCATTTCATATTAATTTTTGTAGTTTTATTGGATATTTAGGAAGTTCCTTACTATTCTCGCTGTGTTCAGCAGCACAGCTTTCTGGGCTTTATTTATCGTAGCTGTTGAGCCCAACTTCTTCTAGAAATTCCCTCCCAATCTTATAAACTCTCTTGAGACAAGTAATTGGCCTGAAGTGTTGTAGTTTCAATAGGTCTCTCTGTTTTTTTAGGAATTAGAACGGTAACACCCTGACAGAACGTGTTAGGAATGTCTATTTGTCCTCTCATCATTTTTTTGTAGTTAATCGCAAGTATTTCGTGCAAACAGATTAGGTTTTTCAACCAATAATTTTAATTTTATCACTGCCCGGAGCTTTCCAATTTTTCATTTTCTTTGTTGCGATGACTACTTCTTCTATTGAAATATCAAAATCAAGCATTTGAGGTGCCTCCTGAAGTTCCCTGTTCACTGATTTTAGCTAGTCTATTTCGTCATTGTGATCAACATTGTCCTCCCAAAGCATCTTCCTATAGTCGATTATATTATCGGTTAACAAGCGATTTACAACTCCCTTTTTTATTTTCATCCAAGTTCCGATAGAAATGCTTCTCACTGTTTGTGAATGTTTTGTTCTGCTGTTTACGGAGCATCGAGATTTTATAGCGCCGTATTCTGTTTGCGTAAAATGCAAGTTTTTGCTTTAGTAGATCAGCATGTAAAGCAAATTTTTCGGTGAGCTCAGATTCTAACACCATTCCTAATTGTGGTACAACTATTTCATCAATCCTTCTTATTAGTTTTTTACTTGCTCCAGCCGGATTTCTAATATAGCTTGTAATTACTCTATGCTTGACCTTAGCGAACTAATTTAATTCTCTAATCTTCTCTGCCAACGTGGGAGTTTCATATTGCCATTATCTTTCTTTGGTTTATCTTCTCCTAAACCTAGTTCGATAATAACAACTCTAGCTGCAACATAAGCTTAATGACAAACAGCTTCAATGTCCATTTTAGGGTAGTCAATAATAAGTTTACTTAAAGCTTCATTAACATTTTTCACAGTCATCCGGGATCTAAAGTTGTAAGGAATCCTTGATAGGATGGGTCTAACATCATGTGGTATTCCTCCATAAAGCATATGCTGGGATAACAGTGACAGTATCAGTTTTTGTACCGGGTACTGGGATTTGACCTCCAATTTGACCCTTTTGAATTTAAACAGCCGTGATCTGTCTCATTAATATGTTATAGATTATGAATCTATTTGGTTTGTATCCCACCTTTTCAGTGCTGTGATATTCCCCACCTTAGTAATTGGTAAAGCCTGCTTTGAAGAATTTCGTTCAAGAATTAAGAACGAAAAAAAAATCGTGTGTTAAAAGTAACAATAAAATATTTTTAATGTAATTCCTAAATAATAATATACTATACTAAATTTAATAAAAGAACATCTAAAAGATTTTATATATGAAAAATTAATTATTTCATGCATTACTTCGTTCTCTATTTTTGTATTCCTTCTTAATTTAAATCTCATTTTATTTTAGCAGAACTGTAAATTTTCACAAAAAATCTTAGTCTTTGAAACAATTTAATCTTAATGATGAAAAAAAATTTTTATAACCCTTATTATTATTTTTGAGAAATTATAATACCTGGTCTTTGCAATGTACTGATTATTGATTCTTTAAATGGAAAATAATTGTTAAAAGTATGAATATAACACTATTATTGTTTTTTTTCTTAATTTTTATATATATCGTGTCTTCAAGGAATATATAAGCCCTTATACTTTCAAAAATTTTATTCTACTTCCAACGACGTTTCCAAATACAATTTACTAAAAATAACCATATTCCTCGTCTTCTTGTTTGTGAACTTATTGAAGCCCGTCATTCTACAATAAAAATCTGTGTAACTTATATGATTTCTATTATTGACTTCTATTTTGTTTTATTTAAAATGCATGCTCACCCCGAACGGTACTACCTCCTCCCTCCATTGTTTAACATTAGCTGCACATTTGAGTTCTTTAGGGATGTAATATTTCTGAAAAAATAAATAAAAAAGTAATATAAATTGATTCTAGGGTTTTTCTGTTTCACCAATATAATGTTTGGGACATTGTATACAAGGAATTTTAAATATCACGTCTATTTTATGTATTGAATTGATTCTGTCTTTCGTACTGGACATGTGTCTTTCCAGTTTGTTATCGTTGTATAGTCCGAACTTGAGTTCGTAATGATCATATCTTTTAAACCATTTTTTATTTATTTATTTTTTTGTCAATTTCGGAATGTATTTTTATTTTTGGTATTTATAATATTCTCTTTTTTGTTTTTCTGTATCATTTTGATTGCCATCCTTTGATTTTTCCTTTTAAAATAAGCCGTTATAAGATTTGTATTTGTGTTATTCATATCACAATTTTTTATGTTAAAATTATTTTAATGTATTTTATGCTCGCTACTATATTTCGTATTATCATCATTGTTATTATTTATATATTTATGCCACAGTTTATTGACAAATTTATATGGATATAAATTACTTATCAAAATATTGGATATATTGTTTTTAAATATTTTTTCATATATTTGGTGTTCATAAGTTTTATCACTTTATTAATCAGATTAAGGGCAGTAATTATAATCTCATGTTTAGGGTGGTTCGAGTGGTATGAGATCACAGCATTTTTATTTTTCCTCCCTGATCCAATATGTTTCTATTTGCTTTTTATTCATTACGATATTAATATTTAAATATTTTATAGTATTATTTGTAGGTTTTTCCATCGTAAATTTGAGCTTTTATTGGCATTATTTAATAATTCAACAAGTTTCTCGAAACGGCTATTCTTTGTGATAATGTGTAAATCATCAATATATTTCAGTACCATAATTGGTTTATCTTGCATGATTAAAAACATTAGATAAATTGTCATTAGGCCCATTAATGTTACTGACAATCAGTTTTATGTCTTTATTTTGCTTATGTAATTTTGTCCGTTTATGTGATGAGTCCGTGTATTTTCGGTTCAATATAATTATCACTAGCCAATTTGTTTTTAGTATATTTATCTATATATCCATATTTTTGTAATTTATTTACATAAATATTGATTTTTTCTGCTAATTCTACACACGGATTGGTTCTCATCTTTTTGAATACCGTTTTATTATCTAATAATGTTTCCATTTTCAATGTATAATCATTTATATTCATAATCGCCAATTTTTTGGTCTTGTCCGATTTTATCACAATTATTTCTTTATTGTTCTTTAGAAAATCCTTAAAAAAACTTTAAATAATTATTTATTTGGTTAATCAAAATCGAAGTTTTTGGATTTTTTTTTAAAATTTTGATATATATACATTAATAAAAATACATATGTGATTTCTGGTACCGTTAATATGGCATTATGGGGTATCCATACTGTCGTAATTTTTTTCTAAATCTACTATTAACTGAATAGTATAATTATCAATAATTTTATCATCAAAACTAAATTTCTCTCCCAATGTTAATAGGTTTAGAATATTATTTGGAATCCCATATTTAGTCAAATTTTCTATCCTGTATACAGTAGTTGTTATATTTCTCTAAAATTAATAAATCATTAGTTTCCTGCTTATTTATGTTTTATAAATTCCCTACTTCTTTTATATTTTGACCGCTCAATGAGGACATCAAATCATATTTAGTGTTTTATTTTTTACAATAAATTAGGCCAATTTTCACCAACATTTTATTGATACGCATTAATTTGACGTTTCGACCATACTAAGGGTCATTTTCAAATCTTGATGAGTCCTCCGTTATATGTTCATCATTAATGTTGTAATTAATATGTTCAGTGAACATTAACTTGTCGTGTTATATAGGGGCTTCGCCCACATCATTACTGAAAATAGGCCTAATTTATTGTAAAAAATAAAAAACTTCAAGACACCAAAATTAGGAAAAATAAACAGAAGACATATTTAATGTTTACTTTTTTATATTTTAATTCATTTTAATATTTTCTATTTTGGTGTGTATTGCCCAATTGATTTTTTTTTTATAATTTTATTTTGTAGTATTCTAGAATTATATTACAAAATTTCATTAATTCTCTCCCTTGAAATAATCTCAAAACTTTTTCCATCCATGTTATATCATTTATTTTTAATCCTGTTTACAATTGAATCAAACGTTTCATTTAATTTACTTTTTACCCAGTATTTCTGTCCAATTATTATATTAATTATCATTTTAGATATTGAATCACAAAATTGTATCTTATTGTTGTTGATTAAAAATTCATTCACAAATAAAGCATCCACGTTCTTACAAATATTAAAAATGTGCTTAGGAATGTAATGTTTCTTTTTTGCATTTGACTGGACAAAATAGTTGCAAATCAATTTTACCTTTACTAATTAAAATTTTGGTTAATTCTCTTACAGCAATTTTGTCTGCCACTCTATCTATAATTGTAGACAACTCCTTAAAAATTCCCCCATATTCCGTCCTATGGCCCTCATCCTTGTCCACAATATTATCCGTATATTTAGCCACTACAGTAGTACTTTTCAAGAGCACTCAATGTTCTTATATATGATGTCTTCAAGGAATATATAAGCGCTTATACTTTCAAATTTATTATTCTACTTTCAACGTCTTTTCGAGCTAATTAGCTCATTATCTAGACATCTACAAATATCGATTCACAAGGATAATTTACAACAATGATCTCTCATTATCTAGTCATAAAAAAAGTGTGAACTTACCACATTTTTTTTTTTACTAAAATGTATTTCTATATTGTAATTTCATTGAAAAACTATTTGTAGTACGCCATAATTTTTGTATTTTTAGATTGGAATTCAGGCTGAACTTCAAGTCTTGGCATTTAATCTGGTTGAATATTCAAATAACCGTTATGGGACCAACAGTGCTTTTCACTCGACTTATGTCAACGTATATAAAGCAGTAAATACCTTGCAGAACATTCTTGATGTATGTGCCTTTTGTGATTTAAATTAATACAAATCAATCATAGACAATTATTTATATATATTTATATAAATATATTATTATTATTATATATTATTATTACAAATTATTTATATATATTTGTAAATATTTTTAGCAACTTCTGCTCATCACAGTATCAGAGTTTACTGATCAATTCATTGAAGATATGAGAAGAGTTGGTAAGAATAATATTACTACTATGAAAATTCTCTCTATTAATTTTTATTATTTACGTTTATCTATATATAAAATTAAAATTAGGAAAGTTTTGCGATCGTGAAATCTCGATTATTTTGAGAAAAAAAAAATTAGTAAGGATAAAAATATGGGTTTCTATGTTTTCACTAATGTATAAATAACAATCCCATTTTCACGACTATAATTTTACTATTTATGTAACAAACAGAAATTAAGTTTTATATGTTTTAATTAGTTCGGAAAAGATTTTTTTTTGTTTTATTTTATTTTTGATGTTATATTATTTTTCTGTTGATACAATTAATTTATTTGAATTGATGGTACTTATGGTGTGAATGAATTCCTATCTAGCTATTACTAATACCCTTGGCTGTGACAAAATGTAATTTTATTCAATAAATAAATCATTAAAGAAAACAAAGTGTTGCAAAGAGTTGTAAAAGTTCGGAAATAGTTTTTTTCTTAATATATTATGAAATTTCATTAGGTAAGAAGTTATAATTCAACAGATTCTAGAATTTCATATTTTTATAACATAACTATTTCGAGCCAACCTATTTTTTTAATTCAAAATATTAATTAAGTGTGAATTCCAAAATTCAACTACTAAAACCGTCGAAATGAAATCATGATTGTTTTGCAATAGCTGTGAAATAAGCGTATCAAAAAGTCAGCGATTTTGGATAACAAACATATTTTAACAAATATTTCCATTATTAAAAGATATTTTATTACATATGCTTCAATATTTCTCATACTACCATGATGGTGAATATTTTCATTAAAAAAATTAAAGGAAATAAAATTATACGAATATATAACTAAATTTACATTTTCACATTTTTTGAATCTTTATGTATTTTTAATGAAATATGTTCAATAATGGAAATGATCGTGTCTTATAGCACTTTTTTGTTATATTGTAAATAAGGATTAATTACCATAAAGAATATGTTTTAAAGAATTTTTAGAACAAGAGAAAAAAATATTGAAAAAAGTAAAAATCAGAAATATGATGCCACAAAGCTGATTTTATTATATATTTTTATTTAATTTTGATTCTTTCCATTTACCTAGAAGAATTAAAATGTGTTTTATGTTCTTTTTTTAAAATGCATAGGAATTATCTTGAAGATTTTTCAGGTTTGATGGATTGAAGAGCAGCAAGGGACAGTGAGTGACTGTGACCCGACCCGACAAAAAACATATAAAAATACAACGGCAGAAGTTCAATATATTTTTTTATTAATGATTTATTTTCTAAAATTACTATATAGTAAACTAGTTTATATTTGTATTCAATTATTTTCATTAAGCTATGTTAAAATATAATAAACTAATATTTTATTTATTCAAAAAATGAAAGTTATAAACTAAATTGAAATAAATGAAAATGTCCATATTTTAGATTATATTTGAAAATGTGATCAGATTATAAAACTTTTTCTATATTTACTTTCAAAAAATGTTTCAATAAATCTTTTTTGCTGTTGTAATTTTTTTTTCTATTAAATGCCCTGATTTCCTAGTCAAGAGCAATATTGCATTTTTAAACAAGTATATACATACTAATGCCAATCAATACAAACTAAGGGCTTAAAATAATGTTATATAATGATAAAATGTAATACAAGAAAATATATGTGCCTTTCAGTTAACAGAACTGTGAATAAAAGTATAAATTTTTCCACTGGAAATATTACTAGAATTGATAATAAAAACTGATAGAATTGGAGTATTAACATTCTCAGCCTTGGAGCCAGGGCCAAAAAAACGGACTTCATCGCAGGCGAAGGTTTGAATGTAAATTATGAAGGTGTATAACATTTTAATTAAAATGAGCTTTGTCTGCCATCCCAAATGTGCCGAAAATGGACCTCATCCCAGACCAGATGAAACTTTAATAGATGAATATTTCGACAATGAAGCGCAATTTTTGAGAAGTTTACCGTTTCTGTGCCGCTACTTTTCATCAGCAGACTTAATTTAAAAAATTGCAACTTTAGGGTAATAAATTTACCAATCTTAGGAACCTTGAAATTATAACTACAATGAATTTGTGTGATAAAGGAAGATAGAACTTTGTCTGCCTTCTTTAGGCCGCAGCAATCTACTAGTAGACTCTAAATAAAAAATTGCAATTTTAGGTGTAAAAATTTATTTAAGTGTGGAGATTTGAAACTATGCTATATGATACTTACATATTAAGAGTAGAATAAAAACATAGTCTTGCAATGATAGCCAGCGGCAATCTACTGGCAGACTCTAAATAAAAAATTGCAATTTTAGGTGTAAAAATTTATTAATGTGTGGAGATTTGAAACTAAGATGCATGATTCTTATATATTAACAGTAGAATAAAAACGTAGTCTTGAAATGATAGCCAGCGGCAATCTACTGGAAGACTCTAATTAAAGAAATGCAATTTTAGGTATAAAAATTTATTTAAGTGTTGAGATTTGAAACTAAGATGCATGATACTTATATTGTTGGGGTCAGGGGTACTTCAAAATTGAAGTACAGATCTTTCCCCGGTGCGTTTCCTCAATGGTGGGGAAAATTCGAGTGAAATTAAAAATGTTGGGAAAGAAGGAAAAAAAAAAAATTAGTGAATAATGAGACCTGTAAAACATTAGAGAAAAAAACAAATGCATGCACAAGAGAATATTAAAAAATAGAAATATTCAATAAATCAAATAATGGAAAAATGAAAATCCCCTTTTGAATGTTTACAATTTATTGAGAAAGAAAAAGAGATAAAATTTATATACAATAGTTTAAAAAAAATCAATAAAGAGTAGAATGAATTTCACTGAAATGAAAAAAACACAAAATATAAATCAGTGAACATAAACCCAAAATTACAATTATTAATAAAGAAAAAAAGAAATCAATTTCTGAATTAAAAATAAAACGAGAGAGAAAAATGATGGTCCAAAAGAATAAACTAGTCTAGCGAAGAGAACAGTTAATTAATATTTAGATGTCTTGGTGAGAATAGAAAACACAAGCCAAGTTGGAGGTTCTGCTTCCAACCTGTTACCTTCCGATATCCCCAGCTGTTGAGTAATCGATGGTGGGGTGGCATCGATATGTATCGATTACTCAGCTGCGCCCAACAGCTGATCTTCGAAAATGGCGATGGTGATGTGAACTAGACGAGACCTGGAGCTTGGTGAATATTGTGGGGGTAGACTTCCACTACATGGGTCTAGTGTCGACAAGCGCTATCTCCAGAGTGCCTTAAGACTGCATCCCAACAGTATTATGGCATTATTTGTGTCTTAATCCCTAAGACTGAGTATTACTGCCGGGCTGGTGTGTATACAAATGAGCGATAATACATCGCAAACGAAGGCAGATATACAAATACAAATATATTTCTGAGACAATTGTCCCTCAATTTTTACAAAAAAAATAAATAAACATTTTCTTCATTAACATTTAAAAGGGAAGTATGATGAGAGAAAAAAATATAGATCTGCAAGTATGCGGCGTTAACATATATATTAAGAGTAGAATAAAAACATAGTCTTGAAATGATAGCCAGCGGCAATCTGCTGGCAGACTCTAATTAAAAAAATGCAATTTCAGATTTGAAACTAAGATATATTCAAAAATTATAGTGTTTTTTTTTAAATATTTTTATTGAGAAATAATACCTTTTGCCACATTTAAGGGCACTGAGTACTAAAGCTGAGTGAGGCCCATTCATACTATACAAACAATGCAATAAAAAAATAAATAAATAAAAAATAAAAATATATATCTATATAACAAACGTAAAAACTATAAAACCAAAGAAATGTAACTTGAAATCAAATTTTAAAAAAAAAAATACAGAAATAGGTAGGAAATTAAATAAGTCATAAGTAAAACAAAGAAATATATAAAAAAGGAAAACATTCATACTTAATAAATAAAAAAGAAAAACATTCATACTTAATTTACAATATTTACAATCAGCCAAGGGAGCTCCGAGTCCAGCCCTTTCCTCCACGTGTGAAGGACAAAGCGAGACCCTAAGAGATCCCTGCGCTTCTCTCTCAGCCGCGTCACCGGCAGGAGTCCAGCGGAAACTGAGAGAGGGCACCAAAGGAACAGACGCTCATGACGTGAGTGGAGAGGCTGGCCATTGCCAAAACTCCAGTGACAGTCTTTACAAAAGGCCTCGAGGCCACTGCCGTTTCAACCTTCGAGGAGGGTTGTAGGGGTGGCTGGAGCTGGATAAGGATTGTGCTAAGGAGTTAGGATGGTGGATTAGGTTCAGATGAAAATTTGAGAATCGAGATGGAATAACGTCAAGAACATAATGGATGTAAAGGTCATGATGTAGGGTTTTGTTTGTAACATAATAAGGAGCATTGGCTATTATACGGATGACTTTAGACTGAAAGGATTGGATGCGTTTGATGTTCGAAAATTTAGTTGTCCCCCACAGTTCAAGTCCGTAGGTCCAGATGGGTTTGAGTATGGTCTTGTATATTAATAGTTTGTTTTCTATTGAGAGATTGGATTTTCTGTTAAGTAGTCTGTTTAGCTGGCCAAATCGTCGGTTAAGTTCTTGTCTTTTAAGTCTGGTATGTGGGTTCCAAGTTAGTCTTTTGTCTAAAAGGAATCCAAGATACCGAATTGTGTCTGAGACGGGGAGAGGTACAGAGTTGAAAAGGATATGTGGATAGGATCTGCGTCAGAGGATAAAGGTGACATGCTTGCATTTGGATTCATTGATCTTAATATGACAATTGTTGCACCATTGCTCAATTAGGCAGATGTGTCTTTGTAGGTTTAAGGATGCTGTTTCAGTATCTGAGTGGGATGACAGGATGGCGGTATCGTCAGCGAAAGTTGCTAGAAGCGTATCGGGATTGGTTGGAATGTCAGCGGTGAAGAGGATGAAGAGGACTGGGCCCAAGACGCTCCCTTGTGGAACACCAGCCTCAATTGGATAATAGTTGGAGAATTCAGTGCCGCAGCGGACTTGAAAGGACTTTATCTCTTTTGTTTTTAATTATTCATTAAATAAATACATAAGTTAAAACTCTTGGGCTAACCATGCACGTGGTGGAGAATGATTCCCAGGGAGTCGAGGACTATATTTTCAACCAACCTCGCTACGTCCTTAATGTCTACACCTAGTTCCTCGAGGAAGCTCCTTGTTCTTTTTGGGATAGTTCCGCGAGATCCAAACCAGAGGCCTCTTACGGTGAACTCTCTCTCTCCGAAGGTCTCACGGAATTTATCTTTTAGGAAAGGGATACATTTATCGTACGTGTTCTTCTTTTCCATTTCCACTTCACCCACCTGATCGAGGTCATTGCTCTCAAAGCGGACAGTTGGATCCAAGATCAGCGCTGTCCTTCCTGTCTTGGGAAATGCGCCGATATCCGCGTATCTCGTAGTTCCTTCACTATCGATGCAATATACGTCGTCAAAGCAGGTGAATTTCCTTTCCCTAAGGAGCCTCATCAACTAGAACTTGACCCGCGGTGACGACGTGTTATGAGGTGGGAGTTGTTGGGGTATTTTCCCAGCACATGGGATGGTGTTTCAGACTCTCTGCCGCATTTACGGCAGAGGGACCCAACTTCTCCGACCTGTCCGCTGACTCCTGGGACTCCACGCAGTGGTGCATAATTAATGTTTAGTTTTAGGGCATTCGACCATTCAGACTCAGAAAGTACTTGCTTTTCGTAGATGTATCAATTCGCTTTCGGGGTCTCTTTAAAATGGTGAACACCAATACCCTGCCACCTGCAGTTGGCCCATTCCTCAAATGCATTTTCTCGTAGCGACTGCCGTAGAGCTTTCACATTTCAAACCTACAAGGGGCAGTGAAGAGCATCACTGCTGGGGCTTAACGAACCCCCGGGTCCCGATGTTCATTACACCGCTCTTGCACATCAGCATAACAGAACACTGCACACATACACTGACACAAGCACACATACAGTACATACCATAGGGCTACCATCCCTAAGAAGAAATGGCGGAAGGTTAAAAATGCAACCTACTCTAAAAATGGAGCTAATAAGTCGCAAAATCGCCTCGGATGAATCTAGAGGAAGGGCTACTGTAGAGGGTTTGGATCAGCAGACCACTTCATCGGCAGGCGTTGCAAGGCGATGTCGTATGGAACCGTAAGACCGGATCGTCAAGGACTAACAACTAACTCTGGTTCGAGCTTGGCTGTTTTGCCTCCAGCACGAATTAGAGGTCCTAATCG